TTTTTCTTTCTAAGGGATATATTTTTATAAAAACAATTGTTTTTTTTTACAAGTTTCTCAGTTTTTTTTATGAATTTACTGATTCGGATATATTTTTTTAATTTTTTCGCACTTACACTATTATGTGAAACCTTCATACTAGCTACAGGCTCTAAATTTAAATTCAAGTTTAAGGGTCCTCCGGGAGATGCCATTAGTTCTTCAAAGAGGCTTTGTGTGTGTGCAGTTTCTTGTAGTTGCTGAGCTTCTGTCTGTCTGAATTGTCATCATCATCAGCCTATTAAAGTCCCCACTGCTGGGGTACAGGCCTTCTCTATAGATGGAATAGGGAGATTGGGTCATTACACACCACGAACGTACGCCCAGTGCGATTGGTGGGTGCTAACGATTGCAGATGCAGCCAGCGGCTTAACGTGCCTTTCGATACACGGAGGAGCTCGAGATAATAAGTTTTTGGTCACCCATCCAATGACGACCATTGCGAAAGTTGCTTAACTTTCACGACCGTAGGCCGAATGTGCTAACCACCTGCGCCATAGAACTTCTCCAGTGAATCTACTCTATTTCATTTTTGGACACGCAAAGGAAGAAAAAAATGGAATAAGTCGTGTTTTCAGTTCTTTTTACAAGCTTTTATTTTCTTTTAGCTGTTGGTTGTGTGTGTCACACACACAACTAGTGTTAAGAGTGTTAAGTTAAAGGAGAACAACCACTTTGTATGGGTGGTTGGTACAGATACAAAGTTCTTCGTACAGGAGGACAGATAATATATACCATTGTAATGCTTATTGAAATGACAAAGCACTGACAGACACTGTTTGACAGCGCCTGTCAGTGCTTTGTCATTGAATCGTTATGAGGGTATTTAAAAAGTTAAAAATAAAACAAGTTTTTATTACTTAATATTTACACAAAAATTCAAAAGAACTAAAATAAAATACAAAACAACATTTTTAATTTGATAAGAAGTATACTAATTTTAAGATAAATTATATCATACTTTTTTTAATAAAAGCGTATTATATTTTGCCTGTAAGAGAAATAAAGAATGTTTTTATTAACAAGTACCTAATAAAAGCTTAGCCTCAATTTTTTTCTTCTTCTTCATTTATGTTTTGTAAGATTACGTTTTTGAATTTCAAACAACATTATTTAAAATTCAAAAATTTGATAACAATGAAAGAAACTACTTTCTTTTCTGCCACTGTCAATTGATAAAGGAGATTGCTCAAATTGGCCCAAATGCACAAAAAATATTGACATACACTGTAATTCTTGGCGAAATTTATAATTTAATTTTCAGTCATTAGATTTCAACGGACACCTTTGTATAATATATTTACTTTAAAAAGGACTTTTAATTTTACCGGTTTGGAAAACATACGAATCATTTTTAATTTTTTATATAAAAATTAAAAATGATTATTAAATCATTTTTTCGAATAATTCGAAGTTGTTTATGTAACATAAAAACAAATCTATTTTGTAAAGATCGATAAAATAAATCATTTTTTTAATTTCACTGTGGTATTAATATCCACCACTATATTATCATTTTTACTAGATGCAAATGTGCTCAGACAATTATTATAGATGGTAGGCGACATCATAAAGTCTATTGCCATACATTTTTCGCCAAAGACCTCCATAAACACATTATAATCTGTATATATGTTAGACTTCAAGGTATCTATCTATGGGCCTACGTTTCCTGACTATAAATTAATAAATAAATAAAATTATAAGGTGTGATACACAAAAAATCTAAAATATGGTTATCTTAAAAACATAACAAAAATAATGAAGCTACTGAATATATGGCTATAGAACCTAAATCTCTTAGCTTTCTTTGGTTAACGAGAGTTTGAAAATTCTCTCTAATCTGTGGCTCATTCACAATTATCACACAGTTTCTGTCCCAGAGTACCTTGTTATAACCGGAAATGACACCTGATTTTAAAAGTTACTCTTATGCATTAACTTTAAAAACAGGAAACTATCTGTTATGTTAATCTACATGCTTTATATACCTACCTGAATCTAATCCATAATTTCGGTACTTGGTTTGATTTCCCTAGTTTACTATATAACTTTTTTGTTTTTTATTTTTTTGATATGTTCAGTGAATATGGTTTATAGAAGTTCTCAGGGGTGTCCGTCAATAATATTCGTTTCTACAGTAATTTATATATAATTTCGAATCTAGGAAACAATTTTTCATGATTATTGGTCTTTAGGCCAAACATGTATGGGAGCTGAGCAATCACCTTTGTAAAGTTGATGCAATCGATTGTATGTTAAGCTAAATTTGTAGTAGGTATAATACTTTGAAGTATCGAAAATCCAAGATTCATAATAATGTGCTTTATTTCTTGATTTTTCTATAATGAAATTGTTCTTTATACTAAGCATGCTTAATCAAAAATACGCTAGTAGTCATCTGAGGCTTAATTAAACCAAAATGCCAAAACCTAAAATGAATTTCATTATATGTATACAGGCTGTCCCAAAACTTTGCCACATGCAGGGGAAGTACCTTTAATACTGTAGATACTAAGTTTTTCAGAAGGAAGACTTAATTTTAATAAAAAAACATTACGAAATGCGTTTAAAGAATATATGAAAAATAAATTACCGGTTCGTCATTACTGGTACTGTACCAATCAAAAGACTCAATTATACATCTCATTTCATCAATAAAATTTCTTTCAACCATTTCGTTGGCAGAGGTGAGATCGGTTCTTTTTTAACTCGTACGATACCCTAAAAATGGAAACAAAGAACGACTTATTTAAATACAATTATGATAAAACTGTTACCGAGACGCGTGAAATGCATGAATTAAATTGTGGACCATTCTGGTTAAACTTAGTCCATATGAACGAGACATATGTTGTTCTGTCTGTTTGTTATGTCGACATAAAAAATATTACTAAAAAGTATTTTATGTAATTTCTCTGCAAAACACAAAATAACCCGCAACTGCTAAACTCGTATATAGTCATCAGCCTGATAATGTCCCCGCTGCTAGGGACACAGACTTGCACGAATAGGGAGTGAAGCACAGGTGTTTACATCTAAGAATCCATATTAATATTATAATTGCGAAAATGTATCAGCATGTTTGTCTGTCTGTTACCTCTTCACACATCAAATTCTTCACTCTGAACCGATTCAGTTTATAGGACAATGTACAAAGGAGATTGCTCAAATTGGCCTAAATGCACAAAAATTTTTGACATACCCGGTAATTCTTGGCGTAATTTATAATTTAATTTACAGTCATTAGATTTCAACGGACACCTTTGTATAATATATTTAATTTAAAAAGGACTTTTAATTTTACCGGTTTGGAAAACATACGAATCATTTTTAATGGCTATGGGTGTAGTAACATTCAGCCAAAGACTGATCCAAGTTGTTTATATAACATAAAAACAAATCTATCTTGTAAAGATCGATAAAATAAATCATTTTTTTTATTACACTGTGGTATTAATATCCACAACTATAATATCATTTTCACTAGATATAAATGTGCTCAGACAATTATTATAGATGGTAGGCGACATCATAAAGTCTATTGCCATACATTTTTCGCCAAACACCTCCGTAAACACATTATAATCTGTATATATGTTAGAGTTAAAGATATCTATCTATGGGCCTATGTTCCCTGACTATAAATTAATAAATAAATAAAATTATAAGGTGTGATACACTAAAAATCTAAAATATGGTTATCTTAAAAACATAACAAAAATAGTGAAGCTACTGAATATATGGCTATAGAACCTAAATCTCTTAGCTTTCTTTGGTTAACGAGAGTTTAAAAATTCTCTCTAATCTGTGGCTCATTCACAATCATCACACAGTTTCTGTCACAGAGTACCTACCTTATTATAACCGGAAATGATACCTGATTTTAAAAGGTACTCTTATGCATTAACTTTAAAAACAGGCAATTATCTGTTAATCTACATGCTCTATATATACCTGAATCTAATCCATAATTTTGGTACTTGGCTTGATTTCCCTAGTTTACTATATAACTTATTTATTTTTTATTATTTTAATATGTTCAGTGTATATGGTTTATAGAAGTTGTCAGGGGCGTCCGTCAATAATATTCGTTTCTACAGTAATTTATTTATAATTTCGAATCTATGAAACAATTTTTCATGATTATTGGTCTTTAGGCCAAACATGTATGGAAGCTGAGCAATCTCCTTTGTATGGCGCTTGGCCTATTAGCCGCATGTTTTGTATTTATTTTCTGTTAAGCAATTATGTATACAATTACTCTAGGAAAGATTTCTGTAATAGAAGATATATTAGAAAATAAACATTTTCAATAAAAAAAGTACTTTAAGAAATTATTTCAATTTTTATCTAGAAAAAAAATATAACTTGCTATAATGGCTTTAAATGAATGCATGTCAATAGGGACGTAAATAATTGACAATATACACAATCATTAAATACGAATAATATAAAAAACTAGCAAAATAACTATTATTAAAAAAAATACGATTTATTGAATTTCATTATCCTCAACGATTATTTTATTAAGGATGATTTCCTTTTAACAAATGAATATCGTCTTCTTGGTTTCTTGTTAAACCTATATACCAAACGATTTATTGTCTCATCATCCTCAACGATTATTTCATTAAGGACGATTTCCTTTTAGCAAATGAATATCGTCTTCTTGGTTTCTTGTTAAACCTATATACCAAACGATTTATTGAATCTCATCATCCTCAACGATTATTTCATTAAAGACGATTTCCTTAAAACAAAAGAATCTCGTCTTCTTGGTTTTTTGCCCAACCTATATACTATAAGGTAAAAAAAAGGAAAGAGAAAGAATTATTCATGCTCCCTAGGTGTCCACAACAAACAAATTTAAGGAAGATATTTTGAAAAAAAAAACGCAAAACACGATCGAAGTCACGGGCAAAGCTAGTTTATGCAAAAAATATGTACATTTATAGAAAAGAACAATTAAACACAATGCAAATACGCAGAATACGTTCAATTGAACAACTGTAATAACACAAATTATTAATCAGCTATAAAATGAAATAAATGGGACGATATGGTTCAGTTTCTACAACTCATTAAATTTTAAGATATAGCGCTTTATTAGCAGCAAACAAAAAAAGCTAAGCAAGGAGCAGCATTCTCCCAATCAAGTGAGTACATTTAACACTGCAAGGAGAGGAACGTCACAAATTACCGTTTTGTATTTATAAGATCCAACGTCATCATGAGAAAGCTACTGATTGTTATAAGCATAGTTCTTCTCAGTGGCACAGAATCTTGCGTGAAGGAACGGTTCTATCCACGATACCACTTAGCACCACCTTACGGATTTATGAACGATCCCAACGGCTTCTGTGTTTTCAAAAATGATTATCACCTTTTCTACCAATTCAATCCTAATAGCAGCTTAGTACCAGGTATCGCCCATTGGGGGCATGCTAGAAGCAAAGATATGTTTCACTGGGAACATCTTCCTATAGCACTTTATCCAGACCATATATACGACTATAGAGGTGTGTTCTCCGGAAGTGCTCTAATCGAAAATAATATCATGTACGTGTACTATACAGGAAATACTGACATTGAGGAACAAGCACTTGCTATAAGTGTTGATGGAATTAACTTGTTAAAATACGCACGTAATGCCGTATTAAAAGGGGAAACTCATCAACCTAATATAAGAGACCCCAAAGTATGGAAACACGAAGGAAAGTATTATATGTTATTAGGTAATTCAGTAAAGAAAGGCACCGAAACATTCGGTCGTGTTCTTCTATACGAATCTGAAGATAAATATAACTGGAACGAAGTATCTATTCTTCAAGAACCCGATAGTTTTTTTGGCTATATGTCGGAATGTCCAGATTTATTTGAATTTGATGGAAAGTTTGTGCTTCTGTTTTCACCACAAGGTGTCAAACCACAAGGGGATTTGTACAATAATATTTACCAGACCGGTTACATAGTTGGTAACTTTGATTACAGCTCGAAGAAATTCAAGCCAATCACTCCATTTGTAGAATTAGATCGTGGTCATGATTTTTATGCTACACAAACTATGGAAGATAACGGGCGTAGAATTGTTATTGGTTGGTTTGATATATGGGAACAAAATTATCCAGAAGGCCCCGACGGTTTTACTGGTCAGATGACTATACCTAGAATATTATCCCTTTCTAAAGATAATATACTTTTACAAAAACCAGTTTCAGAAATTGCTAACATAAGAGGTGATACATTATTCATGGGTATTAATACGAATAATAAAATGGTGCCTTTGCCAGATAAGACCGCCGAGATTCTTGTAACTGCAAAGAAAAGCAAGAGCTTTGAAGTAATAATATCAGCTAATGATGCGTCTGCAGAAGTGACACTTCGTTATGATAGTGAATCTCAATATGTATCTTTAAATCGAGGTGGTAGAGATGGCGTGCGCCGTGCTAAATGGAATCCAAAAGGATATGTAAATTGGCAGATATTCGTTGATGCCAGCTCTATAGAATTGTTTTGTGGGGATGGCGAACTTACTTTTTCCAGTAGATTTTTCCCTGTAGGTAATGTAGTTGTAAAGCTTGTCAGTACCGATCTGGTCCAGAAATTTGTCGTAAGAGCATTGAAACGTTCTGTTACTGATGTTACACTATGTTGACGAACGGTTGTTCCTGTAAAATAGGCAATAATAATAAATAGACAAGTCAAACTATTCAATAATTATTTTGAAGGATAAGTCCTTAATAAAGTTTAATTATTGTTGCATTTTTGGGTGTTTTTATCTTATGATTTCCTCTTTATTTATGTTTAATCAAGTAGACTTTATAGATAGTATAGAACAAATATAAAGAATAAAGACCAAATATAGATGGCAAAATACGTTGAACATTTTAATTATAAATACGAATTATCTTTATTTAATTAAATACAATTAAATTAACTTAAATAGTGTCAAATACTACACCTTGTCGTTCCTGGCGCAAATGTGCCCATTATGAATGCAGCATTGCCACGCTAGATGGCAATAGACAGTCTGTGTACCAGAAACGACCTGGAACGAGAGTCATCAGCTTTTTGCGTGATAGGCGGCCCAGGTCCTACATAAAATTTTATTAAAAATGAAATCATAAAGGACAATGTTAAAATTGGCCTAAGAACCAACACCAATTTGGCATTTATGATAATTCTTAGTATATTTTTTGCGATAATTATCAGTATTATCTACCCCTAACGAGGTGATAAGTACCATTTGTACCGGGCCTAGATTTGCCAGATCAAGAAAAAATTAGGTCTTAATATCTGGATAACAGTTTTAACATGTCGGGATTTTCGGATTGTTATCGAGAGAATTACACCGCCCCACGACGTAGGCGTGATTAGTGCCCTATATGCATAAGTCCCATAGTATTTAAAAAAAATACGTGTGGCACTTGGGGACTGCCACGGTAAAGCTATTGCTTAGCATTTGTTATCAACTTATGCAATTATAATTATTTATTTGTTTTATTTATACAGTACTTTGTTTATTTAAAACATTTTCACTTTTGTATATAGATGATAGATACCTATACACCTTTATACTTTCTCACTAACAGATGCTTATGTATTCGTCCGATTTCGTAGCAGCTCGTCTCGATCCGTGCGAGCTTTGTACAGTCATACCATATACAATGACATGCACGTTAAGGTTTAACTAGTTGCGGGCTCGAACTCACTCGTGGACGGGGCCAAAAAGCCGTCTCACCTAGCATTACAAAGAAATTAATAAAGACACATTGATAAAAGACCCATTTCGAAACTATGTGTACTTCCAATATCTCAAATTTATAATATTATTTTTTATAGTACATATTACATACGAGTTAGATTGATTTTTACTTACACTTTATTTATATTTTGTTCCACAATGTTATATTTTTGCATGTATACATGAGCCCTTTTATACACCTTAAAAAAAGTGTGTAATTTATGTATGTACTAATGATGATGTATCTACACCCCCTTTTTTTAAGGAAATTTCTGCAGTATGTCCTTGGTAGGCGGCATGTAACTATAAGATTAAAAACTACAGTATACCAATAAATAAATGTTAATATATATAAAAAATATAAATGTAAAACGATAAAATTAAATAAATAAAAAACAAACTAAATTTAGTTTATAACGCCTCTCATAGATGGCGTTGAAGCATTGTGAATTGCGTTATGGTTTTGTTTATTGGTGTACAATATATGGTTTTTATATATCGTTAGTGGGTTTTTTTTCGCTGGTTGCCTTATTAAAATTATATGGATATACTACAGCCTTTCAATTGAACATCCCACCACAACCAAAAGTTTATTCAGGGGGTGTTAGGTTTATTTTCGTTACGGAATTTCTTGATTCGGGCGCCGCGCTCAAAGCCCGTGGTAAAAGCTATGCAATAGCTTTATAATAATTATTGTGACAAAGAATAATTATATTGTCCTTATTCATTTGCCGGGATTTCGTTATTTGTCGGGAGTCTGGAGATCACATGAAATATCTGGAGATTCCAGATGATCACCGACCATCAGTTGCATTAAGAGACTGATGATGATATTGATGTCAACTGCATTCTCAGAGCTTCGTCTCAAAGCTTAAATTCATTTGATCGGTTAAGTTCTTTTTTCAATGATATAAATAAATTTAAAAAAGAAAAAAGAAAAATGGTTAGAAGTCAAGAAGTAGCCTGTATTGCACATAATATATATTCTAATTATAAATAAATAACATGGATAAAATTAGAAAGTCAAATAAAAAGACATAAATTTTTTAACAAAAAGAATTTTATTTTCAAAAAACCTCTTCTCGCAGTAAAATTATCTCATAAATATTATAAATATACTTTTTACATAAGTAGATACTAAACTATTTGTTTTTACTTATAACAGTTGATTTATTTGATTAATAGTGCTATTGTTTTACAATTAATCACTTCACAGCCTACATTACATTGTACTATAAGTTACTGTTAATCAAATCTCTTAATAAATAGCTACGTTCTAATAATCCAAATATTCATAAAATAACCTCTCTAATTAATAATACGTTTGTCCTAAGTTAATTATTGTGACGGATTTAGATTTTACAACGGAGTTGATACAATACATATCAAAAGGATCAACTACGTTTCCAAAAAGCAAGTCGATAATATTTTCATTAATGTTTTTGCAGAAATCCTTAAGTATAACTTCACCTTCTTTATTCGTAGAATTATCGGAAATTTTAAAAAATCTTCTTTTTTGTATTCCTCAATTCACCTATTCGTCAATCATGATTACATAAAACGTAAAATTGCAGGGCAAAGAGCGTTCTGTTCTTAGTACAGTCGCCATCAGATATATCTGAGCATACAAGATGACCAAATACATCTGAACAGTTAAAATGTCAATAAGTTCTATACACTACAAGTGACCATAAATATCTGATCATTCATTACTTCAATAATATCTGAGCAGATGCCTGTCAATAATATCTGAACATACAACTTTTCAAAAATATCTGAACAATTTTAATAGGACCTCTTAATTATTTATTTATAATAAGATGAAGCTGGCAGCTAAACACTTTCCAGTTTTTATTCTTATCACCTCTGTCATGTGTCATGCACAAATAAATTCAAGCAGCTTGCTTACGTATTAGTTCATACCATAAATTAACTATAATTAATATGAGTTCGTACCGTATTGATGCGGAAATGAAACATAAAATAATACAACTAAAAAATGATGGTTCAGCCGTAAAAGATATCGCCGATGAGCTAGGGATAGCCGTAAGTATCACGGAGAAAAATGCTAAAAATCAATTGCCCACAAAACATGAAACTTTATTCACAAAGTATAAAATTGTATTTATTTCAGAGAAATACTGTATATTTATGGCTAGAAAGATGGCAGCAAGAAGAAACATTAAATAATCATGTTTCATTTGGTCGCCCGCGTATTACTACAAATAACCAGGACATAGCTATTATAGATAAAGCCAAAAATGACAGATTTATAAACACTACACAATTTTCAAGCACATTCGAAATATCCACTAGCACCATTAGAAGACGATTAAAAGAAGGAGGTTTAAAAAATAGAGTACCGGCAAAAAAACCAACTCTCACGCCAAGGCACAAAATGCAGCGGCTACAATTTGCAGCTAATTATTTAAATTTTAATTTGCAAAACGTTATTTTCATGGACGAAAAGGTTTTCTGCTCATCAGATAATGGGCGATTAAGTTTGTGGCGACCCGAAAACACACGTTACTTAGAACAAAATGTGCTGCCTAATCGCCGGAGTGGACGTATTTCAATTGGATTTTGGGGATGGATGTGCAAAGATGGTCCTGGTGAGCTTGTGGAAATAAGTGGACGAATGAATGCAATGAATTATAAGGAACTTCTGGAAGATACTTTTCTTCCTACAGCTCAAGTTTTTTATCCAGAACAACAAATTACATTCCTTCAAGACAACAGCTCAGTACATAATGCTCGTACAGTACAGACATGGATTAATGAACAGAGAGAACTAACTTTAATGAAACTACCACCAAAAAGTCCAGACCTCAATCCCATCGAAAACCTTTGGGGTAAAATGGTGCAAGAGTGGGATGGGAATCAATGTCGAACAACAGAAGCCTTAAGGCGACATGCAAATGATGTTTGGGAATCGTTCAGAGGTCGAGGTTTTTGTGAGAAGGTAGTTGGTTCCATGAGGAAACGTTTACAAGACGTATTAAATGCAGAAGGAGGTTACACAAAATACTAATGTTTCATGAGAAGTATATAATTGGTCAGCCTTTAAATAATTTGGTCGGCACAAAAAGATTTTGTAAGCAATTTAAAAAATCAGGCAGCAATCCTTGTTCGGCAAATAATTATATAATGGTCAAAAATTTAATATGAGAGTATACAAGATGGCTCATTTAAATGGGTCAGTATGGGAAAGTTTGAACTATAATATATACGAAGATCTGTTCTTAGGAACTAGAAATAGGAAATAGTGTAAGTCTTTTTTTTCAAAATGACCGGATTTGATTCCCGTGCTGATCACAGGGTTTTTCTTAAATGTATGAATGCAGTTTTTATTTTTATTAAAATCTTGTTCCTAAGAACAGATCTTCATATATATTATAGTTTCAGACTTTCCCATCCTGACCCATTTCAATAAGCCAACCTGTATAATGAGAGTGGAGGGTTACCCGGGGAGAGGAAACCGAAGAAAAAAAGATGGATAGATTGTGGGAATGAGGACATGGCCAGTAAGGGAGTGAGTGTTGATATTGCGAGTGATAGAGGAGAATGGAAGCGGAAGACATGTTGCGTCGACCACAAATAGAATTGGGAAAAGGGCATGCAAATGATGATGGTCAAAAATGAAATCATAAAAAGGCAGCTTACAAATAACATGGATCTGCAAGATTTCATAATTCGTGTCTGTACTGTAGATTGGTTAGCAGGAGAAAACATGTCTATAAGCAGTATATTTGAATAGTATGCATATTTAAAAACCAGTCAAGTGCGAATCGGATTCGCGCACGAAGGGTTCCGTACCATTATCTAAATAAATATTTTTATATTGAATTAAATGTAAATTGCGGTAATTGCTTGATCTCGTTCAAATCAACTTTTGCTAGAAGCTTGCATGGTAATGTACAGACACGAGCTTTCATCTGGGCCCCACCTTTGAATATCGTGTAGCAATCTGCTGCAAGCTGTATAAAGCTAATATTTTAATGCAACGTCAATGTCATAATGTTTACCATTGACAACTTTACGTTACTAGGGGCAACCATGCAATTACGTCATCTGAAGCGACAGCAAAAGATCATTTCCGATGTTATGTTATGTTCCGTTTCCGAATTATACTTTGTAAAAATGTCACATTAAACTGATTTTTTCACTGACACTGACACGAAATAGTATTTTATAAAGAGGTTATCATTTCAAGGGTCGATTCATTATGACATTATGTCATCATAACACTATCAAACTAAAATTTCGACCTTATTGCATTATGAATTCTAACAACATTTAGTGGAAATGGGTCCCATATTTCATTTATAGACCTATCAATTTTATAGACCTATCCATACCCCACACGTAAAGATTTGATAAAAAAAAATCTAAGTCCATACGTTTTTTTTTCTATTTTTGTATGAATATCGTTTTTTTGCCATTTGGCTACGGAACCCTAAAAATGGTGAGCAAAATAACTAATTCGTCTGCGTTTTTGTTGAAAATTCGACAATATACGTTACGGCCGTCTACGTCTGTTAGAAATTCCCGTCTAAACGGGCATTGATAATATTGGGAAATTATTAAGCTAATAATAATACGCTAATTTCAAGAACCTTACTAATTGCCTGATAACTTTTTGATTTGATCTCATGTATAATTATAACAATAAAACATTTTGTTACTATTTAATTTTAAACTCATTGTATCAGAAGTTGCTTTTTTTTATTTCGATCTCGATTATAATTTTATTATAATAATAAATACTTAAGCTTGAGCATCTACTGAGGTAGTGTACCAAGTTAATTCGTTTACATTTTTGATTATTTAACTCAATAAAAATTTATAAGAATTAAAATTGTTTTTTATTAATTTTCACTTTTATAAATAATACATACCCAAACCAAACAAACACATCCACTCAGACAGTAAATAAAATTTTTGTAAGGATGGCGCCCAGTTTGAGCATGACAAGTACAGAATTCCATTTTCCACTGCAATGGAAATAGTGGGACAAATGTTTCCTCCAAATTATTACTTATTTCTATTTCGGTTAAAAAACGCAGTTGTCTTATTTTTAAATAAATTTCTAAGGAGATATTGAGAATTTAATCTATAGTATAAAATAAAAACATAACTTCTCGTTAATTATAAAAAATAAATAGAGAAAAAATTAGGCATCTTCCATTTCTACTACTCGTGGTGACCTACACGAATGATTTTCTGATAGATTTTTATTCCCTTCTCATCGTATTTATTCCTTATATTTAGCCTTTGTTTTTAGTTCATCCTTTCAATCACACAGTAACAAAATATGTAAGCCCAGTGCATGATCTGCGTAGATACATAATCATTGACGTGTTCAGATATTATTGAAAAGTTGTATGTTCAGATATTATTGACAGGCATCTGCTCAGATATTATTGAAGTAATGAATGTTCAGATATTTATAGTCACTTGTAGCGTATAGAACTTAATGACATTTTAACTGTTCAGATGTATTTGGTCACCTTGTATGCTCAGATATATCTGATGGCGACTGTACAATAACGTTATTATAAGGTTCTCTCATTTGCATTTAATAATTAATGTCATTTAAACGATGTGGACAACAGTTTTATTCTGCAGTTATCTTTTATTTACTATCTCTATAATAATTAAGAACCTCATCTAGCAAAACTACCTACGTCAGCGTCGCATTATCATGAATATCATGTTCCGTTTGATGGCTGCCAGAGAAGTCCTCAATCATTCCTTCGATGGACACGTAAGCACCTGATACGAGGGCTATCAAAGAAATCATTCCAATGAGAATATTCTTAAACAGCACATAGTTAAGAGGTCCCAAACCTTTGTCCCAGTGGTACACCGTGTCGACGATGGCAGGTATCAAGAGGCCCAGCGTTGAGAAGAAGACGGCTCCGACTAAACTGATCACCAGCTCAAGATTAGGGAATGCTGCTGCGACGACAACTGTAAGGTGGACAAGGTAATGAATTAGTCTTTTATCAAAATAATTAAAAATAATATTCTAAGCTGCATTAAAATTATCTTTCCATCTCAAGAAAATACTTTATGTTCTTGTTATTATTGACTCAGGGTCTTACTACATCTTTTTTCGTAAAAAATAGCAATCTATTATAATAGACCGCCTGATGTTAAGCGGCCACCATAGCATAAGAAGCTTGCAAAACTAAACTGGCCTGAGGAGTCCTGAAAACCTTACAGCACCACCAAAAAGTAGTGCTGTTTCACTGATATATTCTGTAAGTTGGAGGATAATCCTCATAATAAATAATTTGGATTTTCTATAGTGACCCTTTTACAGACTCACCAGTGAACAAAACGATTCCGGTCCTTATGCCTATCTGAATAACGTTGTTGCATGTAGGTGCACCTCTTTGTTCAAGGTACCTTGTGACCATTTCCATTGGTACATAGAATTGCAGAGCGTAGGTAAAGAAAATACATAGAGCCATCAAAAGCTTAGCACTCTGTGCGAATCTAAAAACAAAGTTCATTTTAGTAATTTAAGGCTATGGTTATTAAGAAATTTCTTATACCTACATTCTTCTACTTGAATAATTTGAAATATAAGACATTTTAAACAAAATAGATAATCACTAATAAAATGTAAAAGATTTGTATTTTCAAATAGAAGACTTACATAAAACTACGCCAAGCATAAAAACAATCCGTAACAAAATTCAGGTACTTTTGTTACAAGGCCTCAACTTACTGACTTTTGCAAAGACCATTTGAAAAATTTGATTATGATTAACAGATTATTAAAAATAAAAGTTAGAGATTTTATAAAAAAAAGATTAATATTATCCTCAATCCATACAAAAGACTAGACTCTAAAAGATAATTAATTTAACATTTTCTTAATAGATTGATTGAAATGCGCACTCACATAGAGTCCTCCGGTAAGTTCAAAGTGATGCTGCCCTTGACGTGATCACCGTATTGGATGTACCCGAAGAAACCCACGATTCCATATAGGGAAATGACGACCACCATGGCTACGTTGAGCACCCCTGGACAGCCGAGGAACCTCTTAGGGTTTGCCATCTCATTTTCTACTGGCATCACCACGCCTATACCTTCCATTGCAAAAATAACTGTGCTGCAAAATGAAAATATGGAAGTTCATACATTATGCAACGGAAAAGTTGTAGACAGGTGTAGGTATGTGACGGATGATACTGGAAGAATTGTTAAACTTAGGTTTCATCCGCCGAGGGGGGATACCTCGATGCTTAAGGGCATCTTCTTGACCGCAAGGAGGAGAAGAAACCCCTGCCGGGGGTAACGTGGAGAGTCTCAGGATCCCACGAAACCAGCTCCGGCAGACGAGGAAGCACTTGGGGGGCAGAGGATTCTCTCACTTAGGAGCGGGAGCATTACACATTTTGCCAATAAAAAAAAACGTTTGCCTGTTTTATCGAGAACTAGTAAAACTCATATTGAAAAGACCAAAATTATTTGATATTTGGTATTAACCTACATAAGCTTAGTTTTGCCCAATACAAAATACGATGACATTTGTTCTGATTTTAATCTTGGCATATCGATACAGTAAGTGCCAGCAAAATTAAACTCAAAAGTTTGCTTTGGCGTTAGTTTGTAGCAAGTGTTGCAGTTATTGCAGCGATGAAATTTTAGTTACTCGGTCACTCATACACCTGCGAAATTGGTAATTTCAGGATTAGACCTTAATTGCCTTCCATTGTTGGTTGGGGATTGATTGGTTCTGTGGCTGAGTGGGAATGACACCTTCCTAGTTTCCTAGATCGCCCCTGTCAGGATGCCAATACTTAGCGCGATTGAGGTAACTTCTTTATCAGTTTGTTGGCGGCCATGTGGATTATGACTTGTGTATTTACTCCCCATTAAACTTGTATGCAAAGTTGCGTATATATCCGGCGTTTTATTAATACTATTGAAAGATTTCATTAAAATTTTATTACACTTTGCGTTTCGTGCTCAGCTTATTCCGTCATATCATATCGAAACATTTCGCTTATTCTAAAATTATTAGTATTCAAATTCTGATACAAGTCAAGAGAAAATTCTAATGATAAATGTTGTCTATCACTTAATCAAATATCTAGCAAACTTCTGAAAAACTTTTTAATAACAGAATAATAACTGATCTGTCTTATTTTCGTCGACAAGTAACTAGGAAAATTTAACAAAACTAAAGATTTATTACAAAATACTGTTTTGTAATACTATGATGGACAATTTGTGTCCTTTGTAAATTATATCGAACGAAACAATTTATTCAAAATTCGTAGGTGGCAGGTTATTGTTACATTTATTTTCTTTGTGTTTAATAAATAATATCTGGGCGATTCTCTGTAAGCTCGTAATCGGCTGTCCCGAATGACTTTTTCTTTTTTTTAAAATGTCACTCCTAATGAAACTTTAACCCTGTAACATTACGGGCACACTGTATTTAAAACCATAACTATTTAAAGTTTTTTTCTAGACGTGATAGAAGCTCTAAAAATCAGTCCCCTAGCTGTCCCCATCACTGTATCCCCACCTAGTTATGAGATTTACGAAAAAGTTACTGAAACTACCTTTACTACCTAATAAATCTGAAAAAAAAACCATGCGTAATTTAGTTACTCAACTCCGGAATATTCGTCGAAAAGTTAATGCGTTCATCCTAGTTTGAACCAAGGCTAGTTTTTAGTTCAACGAGTAATTTAGCGCTAAATATGCGATCACTAAACATTTAGTAGAGTAGTACTCTGGAGTAGGTAATAAAATGGGTATGAGGAGTCGATCCATAAGTTTGGACTAGTTGAGTGATATGATAAAAATACCCCGTAGGGCGCAGTGCACACCGGGAGAGGCACGACGAAGATATTGAGAAGTTTACAATTTAAATCCTAATTCCTATATCGTAAGTTTAAAATTTTTACTGGCAAACATGAAACCAATAGTTACACAAGAGACGTACAGCGCCGTGAAGCCGCTGCGTACGCCGCGCTTAGTATCTTCGCATCACTCAAATGGCATTTGTAATTCGAAACAAAACACTGTGTCAGTTTCAAGCGCATGCATAAGACTGGGCGCACGCGTACGGTTTACTGATTCGGTTTCCTGATCCCGAATTCCGTGAGCCTAGCGCAGACTTTTTGATTTGATTAAGTTAGAGTCCGAACAGAACGTTAGGTTTTCCATTCTGCAAAAGACAAAGTAGTGTGCGGCTGGTTGAAAGTTTTGTATGTAAGGACATGCATTCAGGTTTCCGAATCGGGATTTCGAGATCAGGAAACCGAACATGTGCTGTCATACTTAAGAAAGCACAGAGACAAAAGAGGACAAAAATTTTGGAATTAAATACAATTGCGTGTAGGTGAGTGAGTAGTTACTGACGGCTGTTGCGTACGCAAAACAACGTTTCTATTGGCTGCCAGTGCTCACTCACACACACGCAGTGCACGAAGATTGCCTCTGCGCCTTCATTATTCATGGGCCTAGTTCAGATATTAGTCTGTTTAAAAAACTATTTGGAGAATTTTAGATCGATAAGGAGGCATAGCAAAGAGGTCTCATGTAAATACATAAGATTCACTTATGCATGTTATCAGGAATACTTTGATATTACTGAAAATCAATGTCGAAATATTGAAATTTCGAGTATAGATACCAACGATATTAAATACCCTAGATATACCACGTGCGCTCAAGATGTGTCCCAATAAAGATGTGCTTGAACATCACTCAAGTACTTCTTGGTTCACAGACACGCGCGGATCGTTGAAAAGTCAAATTACCGCAGAGCTCCGTGCAAAAAATGAGAAAAAAAAAATACTTATAGAACGTAAAGTGTCGTTTTTTCGAAAGGTATCTAATTAATGTTTATTAATTCGCATTTGAAGCAAATTTTGTTCTAATACCTACTATAAACTGATTATTTAGAAAATATTTGTGATATTCAAATGCATGTCTCTTTTACTGCCGGTCCGTACCTTCTATATTGCTAACAGCGCAATTCTGAATTACACGTAGAGTCAAAGAAATAAGGTTTATATTCTTCCGAATATAGCAATAAGACGTAAAATTTTAGGAGCTTGCATTTCGAACTGTCATAACTCTTTGAAGCATGCGTTTTAATAAAGACTATGTTTAGTATGCATTGAAGGTGACTTTCAATGTTTAAAAAATGCCTTATATTATTTTTCACTCCGCGATCATCTTACGGAGCTCCGTGGATAGTCCAATGTAACTTTTGGACAGATTTTGGGAACGATTTTGTTCGTGTTGGTGTATCTAGGGTATTTAATATCGTTGAAAGACACAAATAATAACGACTAGTCTTGAATGTATAATCTAAAGATATCATTAAAGACATATTAATTGCTTAACTCACATACGTACATAGTTAATATCCGAAATGCCTTGCACTATAATTAAATTCGTAATTAGTTCTAGAGCTTATCGCCTAGCGAAATCACATCGTTCAGATCTAAATCTTAATTCTGTAAGTATCTATTTTCTACCATTTCCTATCAATTAGTGTAATCCGAATTTTCGTTACGATATACTGATGGTTTTATTCTAGTCTCTAATTACAGATACAGTTTAGTGTTCAAAGAGGTCAAATAACTTTTAAATTTTATTAGGGAGTTCTGTAAGGTAATGTCACGTTCTTTACATTAACATTAAAAATAAATTTGAAGACAAGAGGACATGAGTAAAGAAACGTACACGTCATTTGGCGTGACGTAGTTTTTTTCCCGGACACCGGGCTGGTGCAACATACTTCTCTTTCGTATGCTGTATACTCACACGGGTTTACTCGATAGTTTTAGAGCTTGCGCTGCGTAAAGCGGGGCACGGAGCAGTACCCCTAGCACGAACCAATATCGAATTCGTATCGTTTACGAGTCCGAAATGTCACTGTCAAATGTGTACTAATTTTTAGTGACAAAATTTGACATTGACATTTCGGTTTGCAAACTATTCGAATTCGATAATGGTTCGTGCTAGGTACAGGGGTACAGGCGTCCGCTCGGCGTGTTTGTTTCATGTTACAATACGTGCCACGAACTCGCAACGTATATTGACTTGCGCAGTAGACAATTTCTAGGTCACTTTAGCGGTTTGAGGTCTGAGGTGGGAATGGACCGGGTGCCATCTGGATGGCAGAAAGACCACGAGAAGAACGGCACGTTGCTCGTCATGGCTCTTCTTTCGTGGAGCGTACTGTATTTCATGGAGGAGCGCTACATAAGACGGGTCTCCATGAAATGACATGAAAACTGCACGTCACGCGGACGCCCGCTCCGTGCCCCGCTTAACGCAGCGCACGCTCTTACTGTGAAACGAGTAAAATTCGACGTGTGGACCACATAAATCGCAACTCGAAAGCTCGCATCGAGCACGCTTGTTGGAATTAGATGACCTCCGTGGCCGAGTGGTTATACGTCGGATTTCATGGTGTCGGTCGCCGACTCGAGAAATCCTGGGTTCGGATCCCGGTGGAGGCAGATGTTTGTGTGAAGAATACGAGCATTTGTACTCCAGTCATGGATGTTTAGTATGTATTTCTATATAAATATACTTGTATATGTACAGTTTAAGTATTCTATCAGTTACCCTAGTATCCTATAACACAAAAATGAAAAATTTAATCTTCGCACCTACTCAAAGTGAGGCGTCGAACTCGACTCTGGTGTGTGTATTTGCCCGCAAAATTGCAAGACTTGCTAAATGCAGCCTCTGCTTCCTTTGTTGAACACACATTATTTGAATCTAAAGAAAATATAACTAGAAAAAAATCCAAGGCAAACATCAAGCAGTTACATGCTTAAAAAAAATTATAACCATAATTGCTATTTCTTCTTTCAAATGATTAATACATGTAAAAGTATTCATTTGACATTGTGGGTTACCTATGAGGGCGAAGAGATGGCGCTGCCTTGCAGCTTAAGAATGGCTAGAAGAATTTCGAGGCGGTCCGTTAGGGCTGCGGTAGCATAATTGGTCAGTGCATTCACCCGGATAGCGAAGGGTGCGGGTTCGAGTCCCGTCTGTTGCCTGGTCCGCGTGGAATTTTTTCTAGTTATATTTTCTTTTGATTTAAACATTAAGCAGTAACATGCTTAAAAAATAAAAATTATAACACATTATTTGGCTCGAAAGGATTCAATTAATGATGGTGTAGATGAAAGCCCGTGCTGTAGTTTTTATTCGTGTATAGACGTGTTTGTTCGATCGAGTAAAACCCCACTTGAGTCTGCCCCTCTAGCATGACCACCGAAACGGGATATGATAAAGCGATATATCGGTATTAACTGTCAGACTACAGTGGAGATTGACAGTAGTCTGACAGTTAATGCCGATATATCGCTTTATCATATCCCGTTTCGGTGGTCATGCTAGAGGGGCTGGACTGTTATCAATGGCTGCAATCAAGATAAACGCCCGGTTACTTAAGTTACCGGTAACAAGCCTGTCTGTTAAACAGCAGTTATTAAATGAAAAAAGGTAACAAGTATTAAATACCAGTTAAACCCGTTGAAAATCAACAGGTTTAACAGGTTTTTAATACTTTTTGAACTGAAACTTTGTTAGGCACGCTTGACTTGGGGAGTAAACTGACGAATAAGTTACGATTTCGCGTTACGATTAGTGTCATCGGTGGCTCAGCGGTAAACAATGAATAATTCCCGTCACAAAATACATGAATCTAGTGTTTGGTGGGTGATAACGGACCCAGCGCGGATTGGTGGGTGATAACGGACCCAGCGCGGATTGGTGGGTGATAACGGTCCCAGCGTGGATTGGTGGGTGATGATGGACCCAGTGCGGATTGGAGGGTGACAACACACCTAGCGCGGATTGTTCGGTGACAATGGACGATGGACCGAGTGCGGATTGGCGGATGATAATGGACCCACCGCGGATTGGAGGTTTTTTTTCTATCATCAAATCTTGAGGTTAAGTTTACGATTTCTAGATCTTTAGGGCTAAAGAAAGTTCACTTCTGTCGTGTGGTATAAGCACACTCGCTTTATTTACTGAACTCGTCGTTTTGCATAAAAAACGCATTTTAAACCCGTTGAAAACTCGATACCTTTAATAAGTGGTGTTCGTGAAAACTTAAGAAACAGCAGCAACAGCAGTTAAATTAATTTGAGTTTCAAAAAGAAAGATTAGCGAGAAATTTCAGATACGCCAAATAGCAGTTGCCGTAAGAACTTTTGAATTAAAGTTGACAGCTCTGTCAACTGACAGTCATAAAGTTAATTACAGTTCCAGTAAACATAAGATTTTACGACTTGTTAGTTAATTTTAACGCTGAACAGCCTTACAGAAACCAAGTGTAAGACAAGCATTTCCCTTAAAACAACAGCTTACGGTAATTATGCTTTATTAAAAAAGTTTATGAAACTCACCTCAAAAATAAAGGCCACTGCGTTACACTGGCCACCATTTCTCTCTCGTTCGGTGAAGGCAGATCGAGGAACACATAGTACAAGGTAATCACAAAGACAACCATTATCAGAGCATTGGCGATTGCAGAAAACGGCACCAGATATTTGAGGTTCCTGATTTGGCAGATTAACACCAAAGGTATCAGGGTGAATATGCAGTAAAGTTGGATCGACATAATGTTGTCCGGATATATTGGGTCGAGGACCTAAAACAAAAATTATTCCGTTCATTTATAATTCGACGTTTTTGATATTGGAAGTCATAAAAGGTCCTCTGTCAAAGAGTTCTATAATTTGATTTTTACACAAATCGAATTATAGAGGAACTTTATGACAGAGGATTTTTTTTTAATGTATGGCTAATCATCATCTTTTATTAATATACCCCTTGCTGGGTCACATGCCTTCTCTATGGATTGAATAGAGGGAGTGGGTTATGGATGAAATAGGGGGAGTGAGCTATGTTATGACCCCAATATGACCCATCACGCGGGCCCGGTGTCCATCGATGGGTGCTAACGACTGCAAATGCAGCCGGGAATAATGACTAAACGTGCCTCCCGAAGCACGAAGGAGCTAGAGATAAAAATTTTTGGTCACCCATCCTATGATCGGCCATTGCTTAACTTTCACGATCGTGGATCAAACACGTCAACCATTGGGCTATGTTTATTTACTTTCTTTGAATATTATGAGAGTTATCCGCACCCTTTAGCCATGCATTAACTTCAACTGCAGAAAAATCTCTTAAAACTTCCGTAATAATATATTACTGTCTTGATGGTAAAACTGGTGGTTTTGAATTCAGACATACGCGAAAAGCGACTTTATTTCATATTACCTATGTTCTTTTATGCAGTACTTATGAGATTGTATCTCTGTTCTTAAATTGTTCATATTGTTCACTGGACTATAGCGTAAAAGCTTTGTTCAAAGTCCATAGTGCTCACAGCGTCTATTATAAAGCTGCTTAAAACGCTACAAAAGTACTCATATACGGATAAGGGCTTATTGTTTTTCGCCATTTCCACCCTTCCTCTTTTAGAGGGCGGCGCGCAAAATAAATAGTAATTGTAATTTTAATTAATCAAAAACCTTACTGCTTAAATAATTCTTAAAATAAAAACTGAAAAGTAATAAATAATGATACCCCACTTGACATATATTGTCAACTTATTTTCTATTTCTTTCTGACAATGTGGCGCGTAATTGTGCCCATATTTAATTTCTATTACTATAATGTCTTTAGTAGCACTCCCATGATAAGAACGAATCGATTGACGTATGAAACATCAACATTTATAGACTTTTAAACGTACACAATACCATGTCTGCGCGTCGTGGTTAGCGTTGCTTGCGTGCGCAGTCTGGTAAAAAATAGTCTAGTATTGACGCTTGTGTCACTATGCCAAAGTATCGCTCGCACGTTGCCTATACTGATGCTACGGTCCCAGTAAACCTTACTCACTGACAGGAACACAACATCACCAAAAGCCAGGGTGATTTTAGGGAGGTTTTCTGTAATATGAACTAAGTACATTTTTCCCCAAACAGGTACTCTAATTCAAGCAGGTAGGAGTGAAAGATTCGGTTTTGGATCGCGCAATTGGTTAGAGTGTTTCGTTTGCGATCGTGGAAGTTTATCAACTTTCATAGTAGCCAGTAATAAGATGGTAATCAAATTTACGATTTCGATCACCTCTTTTTTTTCGGAAGGCGTGCCTTGAGGCTTATTTACGGCGAGGCAACAATATGCGATAGTGTCGCATGCTACATATTGTAGCATGGGTCATCTGATGGCATACTACAAATCAAAACATCTTGCGGCACTTGCGACATGCGCCGGTCTATTTTACGCCGAGGCAACATCGTACCTAGATCATTTTAGAGAACCGTGGTACAAAATAATAAATTATTGTATCCTCAGTTAAGTCTGAATATTTTTCGTTACACCACACCATGACCGATAATTTAATTCTCAATTATAAAACAAAACATAAAAATAATCTACAAACTGGTAAAGTTCCAAACCTACGCTCCAACGCGTAAATAGTTGCATTTAGAACTAAGGTTTAGAAAGTAGTCTTGTTTTGTCGTACTAAAAATGTCGCACGTAATCCATAGTGTTCGGATACACGCTGCGACAATGTGCCACATGACGCAATATGTTGCCATGCCACACGATTCAGGAATCGTCCGTCCACAATGTTCGACATTTTTAAATATTGTAGCATGCGGCCTTGTGGCATGCTGCAATGACGCACAGTATTGCCCCGGCATAAATCAACCTTTAAGCTCTTTGCCCCGGGTGCATCTGCATTCATTATAACCACTCCCATCTGCACTAGGCCCATGTGGTGATAGGTCATGGCTCGATCACCCTAGTTAATCTATAGGGAAGGTCTGTGCCCAAACAGTGGGGGTATTAAAAAGCCTTTTGATCATAGTGATGGATACAATAAATGAGTAGAAAATAATGGTTTAATTACCGACAGTGAAAAGTTTTCTGTGTCACACACAGACCAAAGCTTTCTTATTTCATCATCTATTACTTAAACAATAAGAACAGTTAATAATAATAATTTAAGGGAAATTAAAATCTATGAAAAGGCCAATCGGAAACAAGTCAATTTTGAAAAGTTAATTTCAATGTCATGTTTCAGACTACGGTAAAGCCATATTGCTACGAAGATAAAGCGGAAATAAGTTATTCGCCAACATTTTTGATTATTAAAACCGTCGAATACCGTTTCATAATTGGACAAAATTAAATTCGTCGAAGGAGAAAAGTAATGCCTTGAAGAATTTCTTCATTTTTGTTAGATTGGTAAAAATTTAGTGACAAGATAAGAAGTTTTCCAAGAAAGAAAAATCTCTCCCATTCTATCCATAGTTCCTATGTATGACTACAATTAAAAGAATTTAAATAACACGGAGGATTTTCAATAAAACATAAATAAAGGATATTGTAGTTATTCTATTTGAATTGTTGCTAAAATAAAAGGTCATTGTAAATAAAAGACATTTTATTTTGACTTGTCACGGATATTGTTAAACATCCGAAATACCGTATAGTAAAGTTATGGCGCGAGTATACTTGGTTGTTAGCCCGAATACGATTGCCAATGAAATTCGGCTAAACGACTAAATGTAAATGAACTTAGTCGAGTGCGCCCGTATACGGGTAGTTTTGTTTTTGGTACCCGAAACCGTCTTAATTATAAACACCCATCTGTAATTGTACAGACAGCCACAGGTCAAGTTGCAGGAAAGTGACAAATTTATCTGTTTTTGCACTTTCTCTAGCCCGATTTACGATCCACAATTTATTGATAAAATTAAAGGATGACGGGCAATTTGGTAGCCCCCTCCAAACAGCAATAATTGTGGTGACATGAAAAAGGTGTTTTCATTGGGAATAATACTCACTATGACAATTTTTACAAGTTTCTTAGTCCATTCCGAGTTATCTGACCATGAATATGACAGAATATGTATAGAAATAAAATGATATTTATTTTAATAAAACGCTTCCGAATTATGTTTGTTACCTTTAAATCGTTGCAGTGATTTTAAATCACTTCTTCTTGACTTCATGCAGAAGATTTGCTGAACAAGATCAGGGAAAAGTAGATACCCCCAACCTATTACACGATTATGTAGAGAGGTAACGGTTGAATAATCGAAGGGTTGGTTTTGTGAAAAAAGAAGCAAACTATGTACAAGCAAAGATGATGGTGAATTTGCTTCATCATCATCTTTGCTTGTACCAAGCTTTCCTCAAATGACTGAAGAAAAAGAATACCACGCCAATCATTTGTAAAATGGGCTCTATAACTTATGTTTTTATCAGGTAGTATCACTCAAAAATGGGGATCCATTAAAGTGGTTTACGTTTAGCAGAGTATGACCATGAGGAGTGATGATAATGATTGTAGCGGTGATTTCATTCTTATGAAAACTAATATTAGATGGAGGTAAACCCTCATAGAATCCATATGAAATAAAAATTAATTTAAAACTATTCATTTTCATTATTACTCCGAACCGACTAGAAATCGAAGCAGCGCCATAGTAGCTATTATTAAATATAAAAAAGGCTTTCTAGTCATATAAAAAATATTGCTTTTGAAGCGGAGCCAAGTTCATTTTTGCCCATCATCCTTTGCTATGGTAACTTGATTTGCGGCTGACTGTGCGTTTCTATGTACAATTGCATACGGAAAACTTAGAAAAAAATGAACACTACAATAAGGACGTAACAAAACAACAGAAATAAAGGACGAGAAATATTTTCTTATAAAGAAATTTCTTTTAAAATGGCAGTACTTTTTTAAGATGCCATATAATTGGTGTAGGCATTTTTTCTAATTATAAAGTTTCTACTTAAACTTGTATACCAACTATAGGTTCTCATCTTCATCATTCTTCATCTTCGTAACGTTCTTACATAAAATTAAGTTTATACTTTTTAACAGATATGTTAGTGTAATTAACTTAAAGGTTAAACAGGGTGGACAATTAACGTATACTTAAAAATTAACTTGAAAGATAAAACGTGAGAATAAAATTAATTATACCTCTTTTAAAACTCACGTTTTCATTTATCCTTTAAGTTAATTATTATTTTTTAAACTTTACCTCTTTGAAGGAAGATGCAATGAACACAACATACACGCATAATACTCCAAGGTATGCCAAAGTCATTGATACGTCTGTGATTTTTCTGCAACAAAAATAAACCATTATAGCTTTCCTTCTGAGGAGACCGATTAGGTTCACGATAAAACAAAAAAAAAATACTCAAATTATTAAATCACTTATGCACATATATGAATGTCGAAACGCTATGTACTTGTAGTGAAACGCTACGTACAAGATAGATAGAGCATTAATTGTTCTTTTCTTTGCAAAAACATTGTCGCTGATAAAACTTATAATATAGTTAAGAAAGGTAGGCTAAACCCCAAAGTGAAAGCAAGAAGTAAGGGGCAGATTTATTAGATTAAGGTGTTTGGTACTTAGATTAAAACAAAAAGGGTAGATACGATACGCTCATACGAGTACTAGCATCAAATAAAATATGATCCGAGTCGGATCATCCGACTCAACTACATAAGCATCTCTCACACACGCACACATTTGTAAATAACATTCCATCGAGCGAGTTGACGACAGAACTGTACGCTTCAATGCAGAGAGAGCGAAACGGCGAATACGCTGCACGATACCGCGGGGTTAACCAAAACGGGATTTTAAAATTATGTAAAATCCCTTCAAAATTTTGTAGCTTTAAGTATTGTTTGTTGCTGTTATTTTCAAGCTGCCCTAAGATAACAAACAAATAAACATTCATGTTAACTTACTTCATGACACCACCCCAAGTTTGAACCCTCTTTGGGCCGTACGTGAAGGCGGCCCCGCAAGTTTCAGCGAAACTCATTGAAGGTGTTTTAGCATCCACGCAGACTTCTTGAGATGTTTTGACCTGAAAATAATGCCATTATAGTCGCTATCTTTATTTTTTATTGGTTTTCTAAGTCACACATTGATGTATAATCAATGTATCGGCAGTTCCCATGGATAACGATTAGTTACAAATAACTTACAATGTATTACTTACGTTAAATAAAACAAGTCAATAGTTACTATAATAATAATACATCATATTTATACTCTGCAAACCTTTATATATAAATAATATTTTTTATAAGATTCCTGTGATATTCTCAAAAAAACTAATGTTTACGCAGCCGAAGTCGCAGGTGGCCACAAGTATCTGCACCGTGTCGCACGTCGGGAGGAAACGCCGCAATGCCATCATTGCGGCGCCCCGGACGACACGGCCGAGCACACCTTTTTGGAGTGCCCGGCCTGGCGACACCAGCGCCGCGAGCTCATTGCGGCGCTGGGATGCGGAGTCCTCTCGCTGCGGAGCATTGTGGAGGCCATGCTCTGCAGCGAGAGGGCGTGGGAGGCGGCTCAGAGGGAGCGGGAGGATGATCCCCTGGCTGCTCCCTTCCGCCAAAGACCCGTCCTGGGTAGGAGAGGACGGCGGCGCGCCCTGGCTGCGCCCGTCCCATGACCCTACCCGGGGGGCCCCTCTCTGACCAGCATGGCGTCAGCTGTGCCGGCCACCGACGGACCCCGTGACGGCAGCCCCCCCTTGTAGTTCTGTCCTGCAAAGAGGGGAGCGGCGAAGGGAGCTACACGTGCACGCCCAAGTAGCCCTCCGCAGCGGACGGGGGGTGGTATGGTGGGCACTAGGCCGTGTACTCAGCCCCCATGCGCGGGCCATCCTGCGCACGTCTGCGGGGTCCCCGCGATGCCCCGAGAGACCCCTGCCGTGGATCCCCGGCCAGGCCGGGAGACTGCTAGGTGCGAAAACGCGGAAGAATCTCTAAACGACGATCCCGCGGCTTCGCGCTAAGCAGCTTAGAGGGTATTCACAGGGCTTTTTAGCATATATTATGCCGTAAAGCGCCCGTAAGAGTTACGAGGTCCTCAGTGGGTAGCCACTGCTGGGGCTTGTAAGGCTTGCGGGGGCCAGGTGTGAGGTCCGTTCGGCGGTGTGTCTCTTAAAGGCGCCGTCGTCTGTAAACAGTATTTTTTGCCTGCGTATAAAAAAAAGGTGGCCACTAGTAACATCATAAATGTTGAAGTTTGTTATGTTTGTTAATAAATCACACAATCAACATCTTTGTTACAATAAGGCTTACAAACATTTGTAGTACATCAAGCATGTGTAAATAGGTACTTATGTATTTCCGCATGTCGTTTTGGTAACTCGGAACACGATTCAAGAGAGGAAATGGAAACGGCAATCGTATGGTCTTTATCTCGCTCTCACACTGCTATTAAGTACAGTACCTATTATCAAATTCGAATAGTTTGAGAGTGCGAAATATCATTGTCACATTTAATATGAAAACTTGAACAGCAGCGTTATAATGGACGTAATGAGAACTAAAAATTAATACACATCCGACAACGACATTTTGCACTCGCAAACTAATTAAATTCGATAATGGTTGGTGATAAGGGTACTGTATTCGTATTAACACTGTGCCGATACGACAGACGTAACCTCGGAAATGTACGACAATATTTCGTGATAATATTGTACGAAGTATAATTAATTATTATAGTTCTCCTTTTAAAAAGAAACTTAATTTGTAACCAAACCTGTCTTGAGTTCTTCGCTACAAAAAATCTGCAGCCAAATTACTGTGCAATCATCATTCAGTTTATATTTACACAAAATGCACAAATTTTCAATTTTAGTAAGATATAGCACTATTCATGAAATCCATTATGAAAATTGACAACTATTAACTATGGACATTTTAAAGGATGGACGGACAATGTAAGCTTGGTTTTAGGATTTCGCAAGTACCTACCCTTCAACTATTGAACCTTAAATACGTATATAAGCCCTTAACACTGATCTGGGTCTGACAACCTCTCATAGTGAAAATATTGTTTAACAGTGACATCTGATAGTGTCATATCATAATACCTACATATTTCTGTCTTAAAGCCAGATCGTGAATTGCACACCGTGAAGGAGGTAGGGCATAGCGGATTTGTCGCACAAATTGGAGCGCCCGTCTTGGGAAGTAACCTCCCACCTTACAGAAGATCACGAAATAATTACCTTATTTAAGTACTAAGGTAATTTGGTGGTGTTGTGTTTCTGTCGGTGAGTAAGGTTCCAGGGCTCCACGCAACGCTATATTTTGATATTGTTGGCTCCACGGGCCCTGAGCCACCGTTGACCCTCACCCGACAACGATACCGACCCAATACCCTACGGATTGTGTCAGAGTCAACGATGTGAGTGACATTTTTGGTATTACAAGCGTCAATAGGCTGTGATGGCCGCTAACAATCAGGCGGGCCTTACTCTTGTTTGCCTGCCACCCTTTTAACAGAAAAAAATAAGATGTTTTGTCCACTCCTGATATCGGCGTCGAAGATAAAAAACTGCTTGTAGGTCTAGCGTAGGCATACTAAGCTATAAAGATATTGAAAACAATCATAGAAAAACTTGGAAAGAAGATGTTTTTGTATATAAAAATATTACGCGCAGCGAACATGACAATGATATAGTAAGATCCTAAGACCGCTAAACCTCACTTATTTTCTCATGGACAAAATATAGGTAATTTATTAGTAATAGTGTTTAAAATGAATGTTGCCATACTCCGTAACTTGTGCTGTGGGCCAATTTGCAGGTATTAAGTGGCACTTTCCTCACTGAGGACTGCTTCCTACGTATGTTGTAGAGAATATTGTAAACAATGTGAAATTAATACTGCCACACACATTCTGTCAGCAGTGTTTAATACCAGACACTTTCAATGCTGAAAGCAAATAACACAAACTTACTTACAGTCCGAAACCTGATATTTATCTATGATATTTAAGAGGATATTATTATTATATTTTGTACATTCTCGCTCCGACCGCGGACCGTGCGCCCCGTCGCACCGCCGCCTCCTTGCTCCGTGCGCCCCGCCGCACAGCTGCCTGCTCCGAGTCGACTCGACGCGCCTGCGCTCATACGTGAGATCCAAGATTGGACCAGTGGATACCTAGCGGTGTTAACGAAACTGGTCGGCGTAGCCCCGGTACGTCTCGAGCTCTCCTGAGCTCGGAAACCGGAAGACCCGATCCCATTTGCACTTGGGCCTTCCCAAGGGTGACGGTTGTTCCCATATTCACTAGGAATATCGGAACACATCTCTTACAGCTTCAACCGACCCCCTGCCGCGGGCAGGGGAGTCCATCGGTGTCGCATAGGGTGTTAGGACCTGTGGCTTCACGCCACAGTCAGGGCACACCTACACTACTACAACCTACACACACACCTACACACACCAAACACATCACAATGGACATCACACAACAGGTACTGTCCCTCTTCTCCGCCCTCGGCCTCACCCTGGATGAGGCCGCCATCAGGGAGCTCGTCGCGAGAGCGCGCCCCATGCGCGACTCTCCCGCCAGCCCCTCCCCCGAACCCCCCCGCCCCGACACCCCCTGCCTCCCCGGGCCCTCGAGCGCGGGCAAGCGCCCCGCCTCGAGCCCGGTCTCGACGTGTGACTCCGACTCGACCATTGTGTCGGCGTCCGACGAGTCTGTGTTCACCACTGTGGTGAGCAAGAAGAAGCGGCGCTCCAAGCGCCGCGCAGACACCGCGTCTCCAACGGCGCCTTCTCTCTCTGTCCCTCTCAGCCCTCTCACCCCTCTCACGGTCGCCCAACCGACCACACAACCCCTCACTACACACACCTCAAAACCACACACTAGGTGCACCGCTGCACCTATCAAGGCAAAGCCGCCGCCGCCCGTCTTCCTGCGCGATAAGGCGCAATGGGCGAAGGTCGCGGACCTTTGCAAAGCACACAATATCCATTACACACAGGCGTCGAACACTGGTCACGCCATCAAAATCACAACACCCACCATTGACACATTCAGGAGCCTCACAAGGCTTCTGACCACAAACAAACTCCCCTATCACACTTACGCTCTCCCCGAAGAGCGCAAAGTCCGCGCGGTACTCAGAGGAGTCCCCTTCGAGCTCTCCAACGAGCTCATTCTGAGCGACTTAACCGATCAAGGCTTCCCAGCCGAGGCAGTGCACAAATTGCACAGCCGGACTGGGAAACAATACCCGTTGGCCCTTGTCATTTTGACCTCGGTCCCGGCCGCTAGGGATATTTTTAAAGGTCCCATTACAGTCTGTGGCCTCGACAATATCAAAGTCGAGGCCCCACACCGGCGAGGCACCCCTGGGCAATGCCACAGGTGCCAACTATATGGCCACGCAGCAGCCAACTGCTCGGCGGCCCCGAGGTGCGTCAAGTGCCTCGTACCCCACCTCACCAAGGAGTGCACCCGCACTCGTGACGCACCCGGGGCACCCGCATGCGTGCTCTGTGGCCAAGAAGGCCACCCGGCCAATTACAGGGGTTGCCCGCGGGCCCCACGCCCCAGGCCCAACACTCACACTCACACAAAGCCAACCACGGCGACAAAAACACACCCACCACCACCTAATAACACCACCACAAACTTCCCGGGGCTACCCAAGGCGGCCGCCCCTCGCAGCCCGGCGCCCCCGACAGCCTGGGGACCAGCCAGGGCCCGCCCAAAACCACACCCACCACAACACACCACACCAACAACACAAGCTAAGCCAGCCCAAGACGTCTCTCTGGCCGAGGACATGGCGCTTATTCGCTCCTCGCTCAAGAGGGTGAATATCGCCGAGATCCACACTCTCGCCGCGAAGCTCCGGCTAGCAAAGACACCCCTTGAAAAGGCTATAGCTATAGCCGAACACCCCGAACTCGTTGCCGCGTTCGATTAATTTTTAATCATTATAACACTGGGAAATAACCAGACTCCGAACACAAACAAAAACACTATACACAAAACACGCGGTGATAACTCAAACAAACACCACTGTTGTTTAAA